TAAAACAAAAAAATAACTAAAAAGCCAAATGGTTTTACAAAGCAGGTCATATGGTTGCATACTTGTTGTAGATTCAGTTAATGGGTATTCTGTTAGGTGTGTATTTAAAAATAATAAGTTAGTTTGGGTTTTAGGTTTAACATTTATGTGATAAAATTTGTGAGAAAACATTTAAGATATACAATTTATAAGGTTCAGTTATTCAGTATTTATTTGGTTTTGGGTGAGTAAGTGATCTTTGAGAAGAGACTTGAATTTATAAACAGGTAGTGTTTCTTTTATATTTACAGGTAATGAATTCCAGATTTTGGGGCCTTTTATGTCCCTTGAGTTTTTGCATAGTGTGAGATGGACATGAGGAACTCAAGAGTGATCTGTGCCTTGTGTTATGGTCCTGTGTTCTGTTGAGGTTGGCAAGGAGATGTTTGAGGGGAGGGTTAATATCGAGTTAATGTTCTATGTATGTAATAGGTGCAGAAATAAGTATGGATGTTTTGTATGGGGGAGTAGGTTTAGTGTATTGAATATTGGTGGAGTGTGCTGCCTGTAGTGAGAATTTTTATTCATTCTAACTGCAGCCTTTTGTTGGGTAATTAGTGGTCCTGAGATGGTTAATTGTTGTTGAGCCCCATGCACAAATTCCATAGGTGAGATGGGGGTAAATAAGAGAGTGTTTATAGGGCCAGGAGGGCTGACTGTGGAACATAGTACCGTATCTTTGATAGTATGCCTACAGTCTTGGAAATTTTCTTAGAAATTTGTTGTATTTTGTGTATAAAATTTTGACTCTATTATCAAGGTGGATTCCTAGAATTTTTTCCCTCTGTTAGCTTTGTGTAGGTGACCATTTATCATTATGTTAAGAGGGACATCTGTAGCTTGTTCCCAAAAACTGAATGAAGTAGGTTTGTCAATGTTTAGTGTAAGTTTTGTTAGTTCTCACCCAGGTAGATATTTTCTGTAATACGGTATTTACAGTATTGGTAGCGTGACTGGGCTCGGGTGAGAGAAGACGTATGTAGTGTCATCTGCAAATAGTGTGGGTTTGAGTAATTGCGAAGCATTTGGTTAGTCATTTATGTTATAGGAGAAAGAGAAGGGGGCCCAAGGACACTTCCCTGTGGGACACCAACTGTAATTGGTTGTGCGGAAGAGTTTGCCCCATTTGCTACACATATTGGCTTCTGTTGCTGAGGTATGACTTGAGGTAGTTGAGGGAGTCCCCTCTTATACCATAGTGTGACAATTTTACGTGGAGCAAGTCATGGTCAACTGTATCAAAAGCTTTTACGTAAGTCAATGAAGATCCCCAGTGGGACTTCTTTTTTCTCTATTGCAGTGTATATATGTTCTAGCATGTGTTAATAGCATCATTAGTATTTTTTTTAAAGCCTGAATCCAAATTGGCAGGGGTTGAGTATGTTTTGGGAGATAAGGTAGGAGTAGATTCGTGTATGAATTAATTTTTCGAAGATTTTTGGAGAGGGTGTAAGTGGATATTGGCCTATAGTTATTCAACCTTTTGGTCTCCTCCTTTGGGGATCGGGGTGACCCTTGCTATTTTGAGTACTGTAGGGAAGGTGGAGGATTCAATGGATTTGTTAAAGAGTGTTGCAATGATTGGTGATAGCACTTGTGACACTTTTTTGTATATAAAGGGTGGTAAGGTATTTAAATCTCCTGCCTTGTTTTTTAGTGCGTTGATAATAAGGGAGACTTCGTATGGGTTAGTGGGAGCTAGGAACAGTGTGTTCGGGTAGTTTTGCCAGTGAGGTAGTCATTTGTGGAGTATCTGAGCTTGGGATTTTATTGGAAAGGGTTTTTGTCCTATGTGGAGAAAAAATCATTGAGTCTGTTTTGCTGTTTCTGTTGGTGGGAGTTGGGGTTCATCTGATTTTGCTAATTTTATTTCGCTATTTCTTTATATCTTTTTTGTTCCCAGAATTTCTGATAGGGTTTTCCAGGTCTTTTTTTGTCACCTCGTAAGTTGGTTTAATCTGTTCTCATAATACAATTTTTTTGCCCTTCTTATCAGGCTGGTTAGGATTGACGAGTAACATTTTGTTTGGTCTCTGGTTATGTGACCCCATTCTGTACTGTTTTTCATATTGGTGTTTTGTATTTATGGATTTGAGAATGCTGGGTGTTAGCCAGGGACTGTTCAGTCTCTTAGCTGTCATCTGTTTAGTTTGTTTATGCCCGTTTCTTGTTAAGAGGTATTTGGGTCTTTTTAGAAAAATTTTTAATACATTCGTCAATATCTGTAATAGATTTCTAGCTCAGTGTGCCAGTCAATGTTTGCTACTGCTGTTGTGAAGTTATTAATGGCTGCCTCATTATGAAGTCTGAAGGTGACTTTGTAGTGTCTTGGGGTAATTTACCCAAAATTTTTTATGAGGAAAGTAGGGTAGTGGTCTGTGGTATTATCTGTAATTATGCCTGATTTTAAGGGGATATGGTGTTGGGCCAGATGTGGTCAAGTAAGGGAAACACTTAGTCTCTGTAACTCTTGTAAAGGTTTTGTTACTGTTGGTAGCAACATACAGTTACTCATTGTGTTTGTGAATTCAGTAATGTGTGGGTCCTGGTCTTGCAGGAGATTTATATTGAAGTCACCTGAGAGTAGTAAGTGATCTTTGTTCATGCGTGCATCAGTTATCATACTTCCTAGGTTTTGACTAAATTGGCTAATGTTTGACTGTGGAACTCTGTAGATGTTTATCAATGTGAGAGGTTTTTGTAGGTATTTGGATTTGAATTTAGCTATTATATATTCCCCATGTTCATCCCTTGTGCAAGTATATACCATGTATTCTCTTCATACCTTCGTCGAACTGCTCAGTGTTATGCCAAATATTATTTATTCTGGAGTATTTAACATGTTTTATGTTATTTATATTGTTTATTATGTCATATTAGATCAATTGTGATAGGCAAATAAGCTGTAGTGTTGATATTAGCGTAATAATAAAGCATATTCTCCTGCTTCATGAGACTGAGCTCATGGCAACCGACAGTGGCTTCAAAGCCACCTTATCTTTAATGGATAATGTACTGTGTAGGTGTTTTACATAATGAGAAGCATTTCTTTTATTCATTGGAACCATGGCTAGGGCTAAAAGTAAGCAGGTTAAAACAATAAATGGAGAAAAAGAAACTGGAATGACTTATGCAGCAAGTAGCGCCACGAAACAGTACCAGCAGGTTGGTGTGGCTACCCTGGAAATTTGAAATTATGCTAGCCAAAATTAGTGCTGAATAACTAAAGGAACCGAATAACTGATTGCCGGATTTGTGATGGCGGACCTGTACTTCTTTTCTGGGGTAGATAGTATCGGTATCAGGTAGTGACAGAGAGGATTCAGTCTAGCACTTCCCCCCACTGGTGTTGTTTGGGTGACAGGTCATTGCTGAGGGGTAGGCACAGGTATGGTACTATACTTTTTTACTATCTGATCTATGACATTCAGGGTGAATTCTGCATAATGATGTCGTTTTCCAGTCTTTGTTTTGTACTTGTTGAAGACAGAGCATGCGATGTCCACAAGGTGGAAAAACACTTTCGTTTACCACTTGTGACTCCTATGCACACAGTCAACGTACCCTATCATCATGTCACACTTGTTGACTAGTCGCATATTGTTCGTATACTCAATGGCAACAGCTGGTTTTACAATATGTTCATTGGTCTCCCTGTTCACTATGTCTGTATCATCTAGTTTCTGTGGATGGTTGACATCAACGTCACGTCCCGTTTGTCATGCCACATCAGTGCCACGATGTCATTGGCATGAATTGCTTGTGCTGCACCTTCAGCACTGCTTCCAGTAAACCTTGGAATGTTTTCTGTGTCTTCTCACTGTTCTACAGATATCGATGTTGTTGACATGCAGGAGGTCACCAAGCATAGGGCTTGTATACCAGTTGTCTGTGAAAAATGTATGACCTTTGTCAAGGTATGGCCCCATTATCTTGCGAATAATATCACCGGAAATGCCAAACATCTGCCTGTCATCATCGAGTGTGTTTCTCCCGATGTAAACAGTGACATCCAAAACAACAACACTCTGACAGTCACACATAACAAAAAGTTTTATACCAAAGTGTTCACATTTGCTCCATATATATTGTTTGAATGACAGTCGTCCCTTGAACAGAATCAAGGACTCATCAACAACAATGTTATTGAAGGGATAAAAGTAGGCACTGAATTTCTGCTTCATATACATAAACACTTCCCAGATTTTGTATAGAAGGTCATTTCCATTGGGCCTATTCCTGTCTGAGAAATACAATATTTTAAGTAACAGAGTGAATTTGTTGCAGGGAAGGAGGTCACAGAAGACAGGGGTACTGATAAAGTAGTCTATGGATCTGTGGACCAATACTGTGCTATATTGTGCTTATACATATGAGGCATGACAGTGCCAAGGAATAAGTACATTTCAGCCACAGTTGTAGCTTTCCACCTGCACAGCCGTGATGATTCTGCAACATCTGTGTTATCCTTTATATAGCAGTAGGGATTGTTTATCTGTGTGACAATCAGGTTCATTATAGGCTCGTCAAAGTATAATTAGAAAAAGTCTAACCTGTAGACTCATTCGTGATGGGACATTCTAGGAGGATGCCACTTCCACTGGCATCAAAATTCTGAAGGATGTGACTGGAATGTATTTTTGTCCAGTTCCATTCATGGTCAGATGGTGCAGGGTGGACCTGTGGCATGGGGTGTGGGGGAGCAGGAGGAGGGATGGGAGTGGAGGCAGCACATGGTTGAGGGGGTGCCAAGCGGTCCTTTGTCTGCCTGCCCACCGCGCCATGCAGCCCAGGCATCACCACCACCTCTTCCTTCATCCCAGCATATTTCTCCTTCATGATCAGTATTACTATCAGTGGCTGGGGTTTTTTGATCATGCTCTTCCATGACCCTTGGGGACTACATGTGGCACACTGCCTGAGCATAGGCGACAGTGCCTAAAGGTATGCTTCACTGGGGAATAATGTATTGTATATCACTATAACTTGACGAATCATCTATGGGCATAAAATCAATCTCATCATCACTTATATCACTTTCACTCTCTTCACTAAAATACAGAAAATGATAATTTCTGCTTGCCTAGTTGTCTCTGGGTAGTGACACTGGCCACCCCAGATGTGCTTGACCGAGGGTCTGGTGTGGCCACACTCGCCGCCCCAGAGGTACTGGCTGAGGGTCTGTTGTGGCACACATAAAGGATCATTTTGACAACGAAATGTGGAACCCAGGTTATAACTTATTCAAATGCAACAGACTAAACAGGCAACAAAGGGGGGTTGGCTTGTACATCACAGTGTCGCTCATTTGCTTAGAACTGCTAAGCACCTCAAATGATGTAGTTGAAGTTTTGGCGGTAAAGATTGAAAACCAAAACCTTGTCATTGCGGTTGTATACAAGCCTCCAGATGCAACTTCCCAGCAATTCCAGGAGCAGGTTTTGAAAACTGACTACTGTCTGGAAAATCTCCCAGCTCCTGCCCCAAATATCTTGCTACTGGGAGATTTCAACTTGAGACACCTAAAATGGAGGAGTAAGGATAAAGATGAAGATTTATTTCTTTGTAAAGGTTACAATGTGTAATTAAAATTTTTGGTTTGCTGACTACAAAGAAAGCCATGGCATTTTGTTTCCACTTATAAATGTCAGATAATAAGCTTACACTAACATGTATTAACCCTTTGACTGTTTCAGGCCCCTTTCTGAAACTGTCATTCTGTCGCTCAATTTTTTGGAAAAAAAAAAAAAAAATTTTCTTATGAAATGATAGAGTCTTTTCCCGATGGTAATGACACCAAAAGTTCGAAATTTGGTTGAAAACTCATGGAATTATGCTCCCGCGAAGTTAGCGGTCTCGGCGACATATGCGTATCGGCGATTTCGCCGACTTTGAGCCCTATTTTCAGCCAATTCCATTGTTCCAGTTGACCAAACTCATAGCTATTTCTTTAGAACTCCATTTTAGCTATCAGCTGAGTACAAGAAACCTCCCATTTACTAATTTGGACTACCCAATATGGTGGTCAGAAATTGGCAATTTGGCCAATTTCATGCAAACTAAAAAAGATGCCAATTTCAAAATAGGGTCCAGAATAAACAAGGTAGACATTTGTGGCACTAAAATAACATATGCTCTGTTCATTAGTCACATCTCTAGGCCCCTCGTATATTATTATTGCTTTCTATTTTGATTTTTTATTCATACAAAAAAATACAAAATTTACTGTTATGCAGACTACTGCATTATTGTAAAAATGGTATAAATAATATCAGTGCACTAGTGAAAGAATATTAGACTCCCCAGTTGACGTGTATTGGACGTGTGGTGTGATTTATTTACTCCTGAACATTGGTAAAAATCGAACATTTTCGCTACTTTGAGCTCAGTTTCAAGGTCGTTTTCATCATCAAAGTAATGAAAATCATCTATATTTCTGTAATATGGTTTCCATTTTATCACCTAAGACCATGAAAACGCGAATACAGTGATAAATACTATATGAAAATACACCTCAAAGTCGGCATTTTATTCCAAAAAAACGATCATTTTTTTTTTTTCATTACGCAATGTGTGCTGCAGGATTTTTTTTATGTGGTGCACACTGACCACACAGACCCATTCTCTCACATGTGGGCCTACCAGCTTTCTCCCGCTTGATTTGAAGCCGCTAGAATTATGATGAGCATATATAGTTCAGGCTACGCGAAACAAATGCTCGTAAGACATATTATAGCTCACTAAAACAGTCAAAGGGTTAAGTTAGCAATTGAACAAGAATTGAAAAAACATAAAAAGTAAAATACATACACAGTACACTCATTACCTCAAAATATTTGTAGTCTTAATGTAGGGTGAGAAGTGAGTAGTGTTTATTGTAAGAAGTTAGATGTGGTGAGTATGGTAGCCAGCCAGGCACCTACACTCCACCCAACCCCACCCCACCCACTATCTACCCACCCATAACGCATTCCCAGAGCGATAAAATCGTGATATACACAGTTCACCCTTTCAGTCTCCTGTAAATTTTTACATCTGAGTAACGTCAGATTATGTAAAATACGAGTAAATGGAAGAAGACAAGTGTATACATTGAGAGGTGTCGGTGCCAGGCACGAGTAAAACAATCGGAGCGCATGCCAATCTGAATCAGCCAATATTTATTCATATTGCGGAAGGAGCTTTATCACTTTATGTTGTGATCGAGTTTTACTATAATTTTGAAAAAAATATCATGGCTGGATTAATGAAAATCGTGTTAATATGGTATCGACATTTAATGAGACTCAGTATTGTTATTATCACCAATTTGGAAGTCGTCTGCTCCGCTCAATTTGTTTATTATTACTGCTAGGGTGTATTTATCTTTTAATTTATGCATCGTGTTTATTATATAATTTTGAAAACATATCATGGATGGATTTGATATGTATATTACCGAATATAACAAACATTTATGAGACTTGTGAACTATTGTATTATTCGTTCCTTGTGGAAGTCGTCTGCTACCAGAGATCCCCATTTATGCTTTTATTCACTGTGGGTGTATTTATCTTATTGAAATATTCTATGTTTTTTTATAATTTGAAAAAAAAATCATGGCTGGATTAATTGAAAATGTGTATATTAACGTAATATACACTTAATAGACTCATATTGTTATATCACCACTTGTGGAAGTCGTCGCTACACAGCTCCATTATGTTTATTTATTCTACTGGGGGGTATTTATCTTATTTTATGTTATCATCGTGTTTATTATAAATTTTGAAAAAATTATCAGGGTGGATTAATGAAAATGGTGTATATTAACGTAATATACGACATTTAATTGACTGATTATGTAAGTTTTTTGGTACAGTTATAACATAAGTATAATTATCAGAGTATATATAAAATAGGGAAATAATTTTAAAAACATTAAATTTTGGAGTTTCCCGCAAATGGAGAGAATTTGTGCTTACTGAGCTCATGGAGAAGTAAAAAAACAGGGTGGGGCAAGGTGACCGTATTAGAAAATTTAGGTGGGGGGGGCCTATAGTGAGTTTTGGGGCATAATTTTAAATGTCCGTATTAGCGGAAAGCCCTAAAGTGAAACGCCGTAAAGCGGGGGCCCTTCCCGTAATATACGTCGGAAAAATTGGGGTCGTAAGACGTATTTATACTCGAAAACAGTCAAAGGGGTTAATTTGGAATGAACAAGAAAAAAAAACATAAAAAGTAAAATACAACAAGTACACTCTTACCTCAAAAAATTTGTAGTCTTAATGAGGGGAGAAGTGAGTATGTTTATTGTAAGAAGTTAGATGTGGGGAGTAGGTAGCCCCAGGGCCCCCACACTCCCCCCAACCCCCCCCCCACCCCACAACACCCCACCCCACCCACACGTCTAATTTAAAGAGCCCCGAGCGATAAAAACAGTGGGGCCTTGACTTACAAGTTTTAAAACCCCTTTCGGGGCCGGGCCCTAGATTACGGGTTTTCATTGAGGTCCAAACCCTAGATCTACCAAAATTCTGCGGGGGTCAAATTAGCGCAAGAAGGCTGGTAGGTCTACACGAGAGAATGGGGTTTGGGGGGTCATTTTGGGCACTATAAAAAAAATTGGAAACCCTTCATGGCATTTTGGAATGCAGCCAAAGTAGCTTTTTCTCATGCCTGGCGGCAAGGGAAACCTCCTCCCCACTTACTTCCCGGTAAATTTTGCTCTCCTCTTTCCCAAATTACGTTCTAAGACTGATGGAAGTGGATCTGAAGAGGAATTCTATGGTTTTGAACCATATGGTACCGTTGTACCATATAGTACAATGATACCATATGGTACAATGGTATCATATGGTACAATGGTACCATATGGTAAAATGGTGCCATGTCATACAATGGTATATGGTACAATGGTACCATATGGTACACTGTACCATGTGGTACAATGGTGCCATGTCATACAATAGTATATGGTACCATATGGTACAATATACCATATAGTACATTGTACCATTTGGTACATTAAATATGGTACATTGTACCATATGGTACAGGGACCGTAATGGAAATAAGTCTGTCTGACTTTTTTTTTTGGCTATCCTAGGTTCTCCAAACATATGCTGCTATGTATGATAATAGTATGTTACTTTATTTGTGTATACCTAAATAAACTTACGATGCCACATGTGCTTGAGTGAGTTTATTCAGGTGTACACAAATACAGTTACATAGATTATCATACATAGCAGCATATGTATAAAATCCTAGGATAACCCATAAAAGTCAGGGTGACTTATTTCCATAGGGATCCCTGTATCTGTACCATATGGTATCCTGTACCATATGGTACCCTGTACCACATGATACCCTGTACCATATGGTACCCTGCACCATATGGTATCCTGTACTGTATGGTGCCCTATACCATATAGTACAATGTACCATATGGTACCCTGTAACATATAATACCATGTACCATACGGTCAGTTGGAGATGTTCATACCACCAGGCACCAGCCAAGACTGAGCGAGTGGCGATGCAAGCTAGCTAGTGACTCGGCAGTTTCCAAGACAAAGCGCTTTGTCATCCACTTCAAGGAACTTGTCGAGTGGCTGTACATTTGTAAATATATAATAGAACATTACTAATATACAACATTTTTGCATATTTTTGTTGTAAACAATTATTGTTAACAAAATAATGATGAAAATATTAGTGTGTGTATTGTGTTGAATACAACAGTACCATATGATACAATGTACCATATGGTACCATAAGGTACCATTGTGCCATATGGTACCATTGTATCATATGGTACCATTGTACCAAATGGTGCAATTGTACCATATGGTACCATTGTATCATATAGTGCCATTGTACCATATTGGGTGCAATGGTACCATATGGTACAGTGGTACCATATTTTACCATTGCACTCTGTGACACCATTGTACCATATGGTACTATATGGTACTGTTGTATTCAACACAATAACCATGCTATTTTCATCATTTTGTTTACAATAAACTTGTAAACAAGTTTTGTAAGCAATGTAATGATAAACAAGTTAGTGCAGTTGTTATGTTGAATACAATGAGTGTACACCTATACAATATACATTATATTGGTCTCACAGGCCACAAATGTTACTAGAAAAAGAAAAAAATAGAAAAAAAGAAAAAGTATAAAAACCGTAA